GTACCCGCAGGAAGTTATCTGAATCTACCAGCACAGAACAGTCTCCCACCAGCTTCTTCATTGGTGTGGCAGGATGTCTGTCTGTTGTCTGTCTCAGCTCCCCCTTGCCTCCTTTCCCGGGCAGGTTGCACGACCAGATGGTAAAGATAAACCAAAGCCTTCACCGCCTGCAAGTGGCATGGCGAGAAGCTCAGCAGAGCTCCAGCCCCGCTGCTGACAGCCTCAGGGAGCAGTTTGAGCGCCTGATGACCATCTATCTCTCCACCAAGACGGCGATGACGGAACCACAAATGCTGCAGAACTGCCTGAACCTGCAGGTGTCCATGGCAGTGCTGCTGGTGCAGCTGGCTGTGGGGAACTGTGGGACAGAGCCACTGGAGCTGACCTTCCCGCTGCCGGAGGTGGAGCACAGCGCACTGGCCTACGTGCCAGGTGAAACCATGGGTCCTGCTGGGGGTCTGTGCCAACACCTGCCATAGATGGGCACTGGAAGAGCTGCCTGAGCAAGTGCTTCCCTGTCCAGGGCAGGACACGGTGCTACCACTGACACTGTGCATAATATTCTCTCCCAAAAGGATCACTTTCAGAGAATTTGGGGCTGTTTGAGGGGCCATACTTAGGGTAGTGAAACTGCTGACCTTTAAGAAGTCTTACTCATTGGCAAGTGGCAAGTTCTACCATGATTAGTATTTTCTGTATGTGTAAACTCTTTCTTCTGGGACCTGCTTCAGGATTCTTCCCTTTGGGGTTGTGTAAGAGTGTCATTAGCAGACAGATGCTGGATTCACCCCATAAGTGACCTGATTTCTGGGGTCAGAGGGGAAGTGAATCCCGGGTGTTACTCAAGCCATCAGGCTGGGCATCCTTCTCCACGGCAGGTTCTAATACAGCTTGTTAATTACCAATACTTAATCAGCATCAGGGTGATGAGGGGAGTGTGCATGGGAGGCTGGAAAAGGGCAAGGTGAGCTGCTTGGGGAGAAGCTCAGCTACAATCTCTGTTTGCAGAGTTCTTTGCCGATAATTTGGGCGACTTCTTCATTTTCCTGCGGCGTTTTGCTGATGACATCTTGGAGACTTCTGCTGATTCCCTGGAGCACATCCTTCACTTTGTTACTGTTTTCATGGGTGATGTGGAGAGGTAGGTTTAGGCCTGTTGCAGAACACCTGCAGTGACCGAGAAATTGCAGAGCTGTCTTGAGGCTTGGTTTGTGCAGCTGCAAGCAGGTTGATCTTTTTGGAACAGCTGAATTCTGCCTGCAGGAGGCACAAAGGGAACAAAGGCCTGCCTGGATGCCACAGGCTTCATGCAAGGTTCAAATGGGATTTGGCGCTTAAATATTGGTTGTATGATGCAGAAACCTCATCAGCTTACAGCCATTTTGTACTTGTTAAAGGGAGCTCCTGATCCCTTTGATTGATTGATTGATCTGTTGGGAGTGTCTCTATGATGTCCACTGAACAGAATTGAGTAGTTCTATTTATCTTCCTGATATCACCCTGCTTTCTGCATTTCTGCTGTTCATTCATTTACACTTGTGTGTAAATGCAGTGAGCTCCTGGCAGCAGCAGATGGACATTCCCTGTGGTAGGCAGCTCTCATTGTTCCTGCTGTCCTTGGGAGATGGAGGCTGTAGTTCTTCCTGGCAGTCCCCTACAGCATCACCTGGGGCAGGTGGTTTGGCTTCTGCCCCACAGGTGCAGGAGAGGTATACTCTGACCTCAGTGCTTGGTGATGGACAGCAGATGCAGCAGGCAAAGCACCTGGATTTGCAGGGTAAAAAGGAAGCAGGTCTATGAGCAGTAGTAAAACAGGTTGGATGGCTGGTGGGGTTTGCTTGGGAGCTCCAGGTGAGAAGCAGGCATTGGGCTGTGAGTGGGAGAACTGCTGTGGGAGGGGTGAGAGCAGCATCTTGGTTATTCCCACACCCTCTGGCCTCTACCTGAGATTCCACTGTGGCATGGAGTCTGTGCAAGTGAGTGCCGATCCAGGGCTGGCTTTGCAGACAGGTCTGCAGCAATCAGGCACTCGAGCATGGATGAGCACAGCTCCTGGAGTGATTCCTGAACAGCTCCATTCTGCACCATGGCTGTGCCATCCTGGATTTGCTTTGTTTTCTGTTGCAGGATGAAGAATCCTCACCTGCGAGCCAAGCTGGCTGAAGTGTTGGAAGCTGTGATGCCTCACTTGGATCAGGCTCAGAACCCACTCGTCTCGAGTGTGTTTCATCGCAAGCGAGTGTTTTGCTCTTACCAACATGCTGCCCACCTGGCCGAAGCACTCATCAAAGTCTTTGTGGATATTGAGTTCACGGGTAAGTGCAGAGTGGGAAGTGCTCTGTTCCCTGTGTAGCACTTGTGGGGGACTGTCCATTTGAAAGGTTCTTTGGCTTGTGCCCAGGTGACCCACACCAGTTTGAACAGAAGTTCAACTACCGCCGTCCCATGTATCCCATCCTGCGGTACATGTGGGACACAGATTCCTACAGGGACAGCATAAAGGTGAGGCGAGAGGTGCATGTCACTCCATGTGAGTGTGCAGTTCACACGGAGGGTCACATGGCTCCATGTCCTGCCACTGGGACTGTGCTGCAGAATTCGCTGTTCTCCCTTTCCTTTTAGGCTCTGGCTGATTATGCCTCAGAGAACCTGGAGGCAATGAATCCCCCTCTCTTCTTGCGCTTCCTTAACCTGCTTATGAACGATGCCATTTTCCTGTTGGATGAAGCCATACAGGTAGGGTTGAACTCGTGTTCCGTCAGCATCACATAAACAAGTTCTCATTTCCTTGATGCAATACAAGCCTTCAGAACGGGACCAGCTTACCTGGCCCCTGCCTGGTGAGTCTCTGCAGTAGGTACTATGCAGGAAGCAATCCCAAGATGGTGTGGCCAATGCCCTAGGAGAAGGGGTGAAGGCACAGATAAGATGGATGATATGGATGTTGCCTGACTGGTTTTGAGCATTTCTGGACCTCCTTGGTGTCGACAGCCACCCACACACCCCATGTGTTCTGTCTTGCAGTACCTCAGCAAGATCAAAGTTCAGCAGATTGAGAAGGACCGAGGTGAGTGGGACAGCCTGTCCCCGGAGGCTCGCCGCGAGAAGGAGTCCAGCCTGCAGATGTTTGGTCAGCTGGCGCGTTTCCACAACATCATGTCCAATGAAACCATTGGCACTCTGGCTTTCCTGACTTCAGGTAGGGAAAATGGCCCCTCTTGCCTGCCTGGACCTAGAGAAGAGCCCTGCCAGGAAATTGGTTTCAGTGTGGTCAGATCAGGATAGAATTGCTGTGAATCTGCAAACTGTTGTTTTCCTTTCCAGAAATCAAGTCCCTGTTTGTGCATCCTTTCCTTGCCGAGCGCATCATCTCCATGCTCAACTACTTCCTGCAACACCTGGTTGGGCCTAAAATGGGAGCTTTGAAGGTGAAGGATTTCAGTGAGTTCGACTTCAAGCCACAGCAGCTCGTGTCTGACATCTGCACCATCTACCTAAACCTTGGGTAGGTGATGAGGGGAGTGAGCCTGTTGGTGGCAGGAGCCATCTTGGTGATACCAGGGGGAAAATGCTTAATCACACTCAAGCTTTTCTTTAGCTTTGAGTTCTTTGCTATGGGAATGTGGCTGCTGTGGGGACTGTTTGCAGCCCTGACAAATGGGGATTCTTATACCTTTCTCTCACGTAACCTGTGGTGCAGGGATGAAGAAAACTTCTGTGCCACAGTCCCCAAGGACGGCCGCTCCTACTCACCGACGCTCTTTGCCCAGACCGTGCGGGTTCTGAAGAAGATTAACAAGCCTGGAAATATGATAGTGTCTTTTAGTAACCTGGCTGAGAGGATCAAGGTGAGCACTGGAGGGAATTTAACATACAAAAAAAGAGCTGATTCCCTTTGTCCTTTTCCCTCTGTGTATTGCTGCATCCTTGCTGTGGAGCTGGATTTCTGGGAGTGGAGCTTTGTCCAGGTGGGGGCAGCTTGGAAGGTGCCCTGCCTGCACAGACCTGTAAATGCTCCCTGGTCTAAAAAGAACAGAGTCCGAATCCTCAAAGCCACGTGTGCTCCCTAGTCTCTTGCAGACCGGCAGCAGCAGGAAGAGGAGACATATGCAGATGCCTGTGATGAATTCCTGGATCCAATCATGAGCACTCTGATGTCAGACCCCGTGATCCTGCCCTCCTCCCGTGTCACCGTGGACCGATCGACTATAGCCCGACACCTCCTCAGGTGTGCAGCACAGCCCTCATACTCATACATAGATAATTTTGGGCATCTATTTCACATACCAAATGACTCTTCCTGGCCTCTTTTTTTTTTTTTTTTTTTTTATCTCTAGCACTGGGAGTGTCCAAGTAATTTCCTCGATGTTTTATTTTTCAGCGATCAGACAGATCCTTTCAATCGGAGTCCCCTCACTATGGACCAGATCAGACCAAACACAGAACTAAAAGAGAAGATCCAGCAATGGCTTGCAGAGAGGAAAAAGCAGAAGGAGGAGGAGCTGGAGGACACGCTGAACTGAAAAACAAGATCTCATCTTGAAATCTCCAGTCAGGGGCAAGATCACAGCCATGCAGGGCGAGTGGCTGGAGCTGCCACCCTAATGATGACCACATTTAGTGCATTGCCACCACCTTTGGAGTCTCTCCTCAGACCTTCCCTGACAGCCCTTGTTCTCTCTTTTCCTTTCAAGACTCTCTCTTTAATACTAAGACTTCCCACTGCACTACAGCTTTGAGCCTCAGCCTCGGGAGAAGAACACAGCCTTCTCATGATGTGGTGCCCTGGCCCTCTATTTACCTGCTCTTTGTGTTGGCCACGTTCTTTTCCAGCAACACCAAAAGCCTCCTTCTGTTCCGTGTTTAAACTGTAACCATCTTTCACTTCGTGAAAGCAATGCCTCCATCCATTCCCAGAGTGGAATGGAGGGGGGATCAACAGGAGGGGGACGTTTTGCCAACTTGTATGTGCCAGGGGTGTAGCAGGGTTTACTTCCCCAATGAGTGTTGAGAACGGTGGGCGTTGGAAATTAAACGCAGAGATCATCTTACAGCTGGTGATGGAGGTCTGGCGGTGCCGGGAGCTGTAGAGAAGCGTCTTTGGGCTTGGTCCAGACAGGCGCGGTCTGGGCACCGTGCGGGTCTCGAACCCGGGGATCCGGCCCCGCCCCGCCCCGCCCCGCGCATGCG